AGAGAGAGAGAGAGAGAGAGAGAGAGAGAGAGAGAGAGAGAGAGAGAGAGAGAGAGAGAGATACAAGGATAGAAAAAGAGAGAGAGATACAAGGATAGAAACAGAGATATAGAAGAAAAGAAAGAAACAGAGGGAATAGGCCTAGTAAACCCCGCTATAGCGTCCTACAGATGCCAAGACACTCAAGACGTTGTCCTTAAGGGGGTCGCCGAAGATAAAGAGATGTTGCCATGGATACCAAGCGAAGCGCCCGAACAGGATCCGCATACCTTCCCTCGTGCATGCCGTGATATCATTGCCTGCAACAATGCTAAACAAACCGCATGGATGTCAAGCCTTCGGAGGCCTCGTGCGTTCTTGCGTTCTCTGGCTCGCTCTGTCTGTTTGTGTGTGTTTGTGTGTGTCTGTTTGGTTATGTGTGTATGCGTGTGTGTGTGTATGTGTGTGTGTGGGGGGAGGGGAGGGTGCGTGCGAGCGTGTGTGTCTGTGCGCGTGTATGCGTTCGTGTGTGCGAGCGTTCGTGCGCGCGTGAGTTTCTTCCCTTCTCCATCTAGCTTTCCTTCTCAGTCTATCTTTCTCTCTCCCTTTCCTTACCTTTTTCTTTTCTAGGTCTTTCTCCCCCTCCCTCTCTGTGTGTCTGTTTCTTTCTCTCTACCTCATTTCTTATCTTTCTCCTTCCTCTCACTCCCATTTCTATCTTCTTTATCTCACAAACACACACGCACACACACACACACACACACACACACACACACACACACACACACACACACACACACACACATACACACACGCACACACATACTCGAACGTCCCTCTCCCCATCCCTCCTCCTCCCCCTCCTCCCCCCTCCCCCTCCCCCCCCCCCCTCCTCCCTCCTCCTCCTCCTCCTCCTCCTCCTCCTCCTCCTCCTCCTCTCCTCCTCCTCCTCCTCCTCCTCCTCCTCCTCCTCCTCCCCCTTCTCCCTTTTTTCTTGGTTTCCTCCCTTACCCCCTCCCCCACTCTACAACCTTAATACTGCATGGTCATTACGAGAGTCAAATGACATTTTATTTATGAATTGAAATACAATTACTGGAGGTTCGTCTACACCTTCATTGTCACACTGGAGGAGGAGAAACGGGAAGGAGGAGGAGAATAATGATGGTGATAATGATGATGGCGATGATGATAATGATGATGATGACGATGATGATAATGATGATGGTGATGATAATGATAATGGTGACGGTGATAATGGTGGTGATGATGATGGTGATGATGATGATGGTGATGATGATGATGGTGATAATGGTGATGGTGATAATGGTGATGGTGATGATGGTAGCGGTAGTGGTGATGATGAGTGGTGAGAAAGAACAGGAAAAGGGAAAGGGAAATTGAACGAAAATGAAAATGAAGAGAGAATACTAACTGTAATTCGAACCGTTATATTTTTCATCCACAGTGCTATTACCTGTAGTCATTACATTAAGTACAAAATAAAAAAATATTGAAGCTAATCACAGGTACTTAAAACTTAATTAGCATCATGTCTTCTCTCTCGCTCTAGTTCTCTCTCTCTCTCTCTCTCTCTCTCTCTCTCATGTCCTCCCCTACCTCCTTACCCCCCCTCTATCCCCTCCTTCCTTCCTCCCCTCTACCCTCTCCTTTCCTTCTCCCCTCCCCCCTCCCTCTCTCCTTTCCTCCCCCTTCCCTCCTTCCCTCCCCCTCCCCCACCACCCCTCCCTCCAACCAGCCTTTATGCCCATCCATCTGCCTCTTTCCCATCAAACCATTAAATTCCATAACCATTACTAATACAGTGCCATTAATTACCAAATCACCCGATTCACTATAAATCAAACCCCGAGACCCATTACCATTCATTAGCAACAGCATTTTCCCGGAGATAAATCACTCTTTTGTTATACCGTTCTGCAGTGTTGAACAACCTCCAGTTTACCCGTGCCGACAGACAGAGAGGGGGACTGGAAGACAAACAGACACTGAGTGCGGGGTATAGGAAGACACACAAACAGAGGGGGTTGATAAATAAAGGATATACACAGACGATCATTGCGGGATACAGATAACCATACAAAGGAGACAGACAGACATAATAGATGGTAGCTAGAAGGACAAACAGACAGGGGCGGAGAGAAAGACATTCGGGCTGAGAGAGAAACAAACAAACAGACATACAGGTAGAGAGGAAGACGGGCAAACAGTAATGATAGATACAGAACTAGACAAACAGGACGGACGAACACAGAGGGCAACAGATACACACTCTGGACAGATAAGTTCGGCACACTGACATTGACAGACAGACGGACAGCAGGGAGATAAAGCAGACAGACAATAAAAAGATAAAAACGGACATATAGAGCAGTAGATACAGTAATAGACATAGAGGTAGAGAGAGACCTACATAGGCAGGTAGGCAGACACACACACAAACACCAGAGATACTAAAAATGCGTATAGATAACAAAAAAACTGATAACAAAAAAAACTGTGAGTGTGAGTGTGAATGTGAGTGTGAGTGTGAATGTGAGTGTGAGTGCATGTGTGTGTGTTTGCGCGCAGACTGTTGCAAATGTACAGACATAGGAAAAAAAAAACTCACGGGCAACATTGCAAACCACCACCAAATATACGCACAGTAACGCAGTCATTCGCCGGCAGACAGACGCATTTAGAATCCTATAGGAAGGGAGAAAGACGCGCATGTTTTGATATCTTACTACTATCGGGTCCTCCGACAGGATATCCTTTCTGGGATGCGATAGCAGTGCTTCCCGCCTCCCTCCCTCTCCCTCTCTGTCTTTCTCTTTTTCTTTCTCTTTCTCTTTCTCTCTCTCTCACACTCTCCCGGTCCTCCTTCCCTCCCTCACTCCCTCTCTACTCTCTCCATCGTTCTCGTTTTCTCTCTCTTTCCACACTCTCCCTCTAACTATTCCTTCATATTCCCTTTTTCCCCTTTCTTCCCTCCCTCCATCCTTTCCTCCATCCCGCCCGCTCGCTCGCCCACAGATGACCATCTCATTAAATCGTCATAATTTGGATCGCAACAATTCCAGTGTCACCAGAACACGAGCGTATGGGTGATTTTAATATCCTCCCTCCCTCCCTCACCTCCCTCTGCCCCTCCCCTCCACCTCCCTCCCTCCCTGTGCCCCTCCCTTCCTTCCACCTCCCTCCCTCCCTCTGCCCCTCCCTTCCACCTCCCTCCCTCAATCCCTCCCTCCCTCTCTCTCTCTCACCTCCCTCCTCCCTGTGCCCCTCTCTCCCTCAATCCCTCCCTCCCTCCCCCCCCTCACCTGGCTTTAGAGCTGTGATTGATGATCATTATCGAATTTCAACCCTTATTACATTTGCATAATTTCCACGGGGTTAAATCAACCTGATCATCCTAGGTAAATCACCGATTAACACAGAAAAAAAAAAGCTGTGTCGTGCTTTTGCTTTATCCTATATCTCCCTCCCTCACCTCCCCGTCCCCTCCTCCCTCCCCTTTCCCCTTCCCTCTTTCCCCTCCCCACTCCTCGCTGTGTCACACCTGAGCAACTACTCTTCTCTTTAACGAGTCTATCTTGTGTATCTTGTGGGTCTTCTCCTCCCTCTTCCTCTTCCTCTTTCTTTCTCTTTCTCTTTCTATCCCCCATTTCTCTTTCTCTCTCTCTTTCTATCCCTCCCCGTCTCCGTCTTCCTCTCCCACTCTCTCTCTTCTTTCTATCTGTTCTCTTTCTCTCTCTTTTCTATTTTTTTTTATCTCTCTCTCTCTCTTTCTCTCCCTCTCCCTCTCCCACACTTTGCTAGTAGGAATACACTACTTTAAAAATATCCGCCGCACCTTTTCCTTCGGCAAATAGTCTCTTTTAAAGCAAATGTTCGTGCACCTGCTTAACCGTCTTTCAAAAACTAATCGTCATATAGAATTACACCTGTTGCGCACACACCAGAAACTTGGGGGAAAATAGGTCCGGGGAGGCACTGGCAAGGACGCACTTATCATATGGAAATGATGTGAAACAGAAGGAGAGGGAGAGGGTGAGAGGGAGGGAGTGAGGGAGGGAAGGGTGGAGAGAGAAGAGAAACAGATACAGATACAGATACATATATATATATTATATATATATATATATATATATATATATATATATATATATATATATATATATATATATATATCCCAGCGAGAGAGAGAAAGAGAGAGAAAGAGAGAGAAGATAAAAACAAACCCCCCAAAAAAGAAAGAAAGGAAAAGGCACAGAGAGAAGTCTACCAAATATTTCTTTCTTTCCTTTTTCCTCTCTTCCAACACAAAAGAATGAAACCTGTTTTCCTTCCCTTTTTATTTCTCCAAACAGGTCGTACCTTGCTTGCACTTGCTTGTCACGGCTGTCATTTTGCTTCACGAAGATACACTAAAAGCATCGGATTTCGGGTAAACTGAGAGAGGAAGAGAGAAAGAAAGAGAAAGTAAGGGAGGGATGAAAGGGAGTGGAGAGAGACGGGGAGAGGAGAAGGGGAGGGAGGGAGAGAGGGAGGGAGGGAGAGGGAGAGGGAGAGGGAGAGAGAGGGAGAGAGAGGGAGAGAGAGAGAGAGAGAGAGAGAGAGAGAGAGAGAGAGAGAGAGAGAGAGAGAGAGAGAGAGAGAGAGAGAGAGAGAGAGAGAGAGAGAGAGAGAGAGAGAATCAGTGAAAAGCAGTGGGAATCAAAGGGAAGTGTATAGTGGAGAGAAGTGAGAGAAATGAGATGAGAAAAAAAAATTGAATAGGAAACAGTGAAACGGAACAAAGAAGAGAAGATAAAGGAGAAAAACAGAAAACAAACGTAGGAAGAAATAAAGCAAAGAAAGACCAAAGACAAAAATAACAATAAAACAGTTCAGAAAAGGGAAAACAGGAAAAAAACGTGAAGCGCAGAAAGAATGAGAAATAACAAGAAATAAGATTAATCACACAAACAAACAAAAGAAAAACACACACTCTGGCCCCCAAAGCCCTCACTCAC